ATAGCAGGCGGGGGGAGCTTTTTTTGATGGTCAGACTGGGCGGTATAGCAGGTGGGGGAAGCTTTTTTTGATGGTCAGACTGGGCGGTATAGCAGGTGGGGGAAGCTTTTTTTGATGGTCAGACTGGGCAGTAGCAGGTGGAAGAGAAGCCCTCTTGGTGCTCAGTTTGTGGAGGGCATGAGAACACTATCACGTTGCCAGACTGGGCAACATCTGTACGGTATGAAGACAGACTGACTGCCATTTATGAACTGAAAGGCATAGATGTAGTGTTATCCCACTGGTCCTAAGCTTTTTTTCAGAGCTAAGGTGGTGAGTAAGGCTGCTCTGGATATCTAGTGTCCTGTGGTTCAGGAAGTAGTGCAGAGAGGCAGTGTCATGACACTGGCTTTCTGTTTGACTTCATGGATAGCAGTGTTTTATATCCTTAACTAGAAATAGCAATAGGGCTCTTTTGTATCATCACTGATCAGCTGTGTACCAGACCACTTAGTTGGAAAAAAAGGTACCCTAGATCTTATAAAATACCAGGAGGTGAGAGACTAAAAGGACAGTGACGGGATGGAAACTGACAGCGAAAACATAGCTTTGATTGCCTCTGCCTGCCTGTGATCATTGCTGTGAAACAATTTTTCCTTTGCTTCATGAAAAGGCCTATCCAAACAGGAAAATATACAGGAGATGCTGTCGTGCACAGATCTAGACCACGGCAGACACTTAGTGAGAAACATTCTCAAGTGCTGTAACAATAGATCATAAAGCTAAAGAACAGCCTGCAGATGAAGTTGGCTTTTCAGTTGACTCTGTCTGTAGGCGAGGGGGGAAAGGCACAGTATATCTCATTTGAAATGATCTGCCAAGTGGTAGTAGCTGTTCCTTGATCAGTCCAAGCCCTTGCACAGATGCACCAACCTGCTGCAGGGGTGCGCAGGGAGAAGAGGTTCATGCTTAGGAGTGGTGAATACCCTCCACTTCTACTGAGGTCACTGTCACCTAGCACCTTTAAATTTAGCCCCAGAATCAGCAATGCTGATCAGATCAGCTGAACGCTGAATGAATTATCACCTTCTATAGCCAAAGTGTGGTGGGTAAAGCAGACTGCCAGCAGTAATAACAGTGTAATACATCAGAGCTCATGCTTCGTCTCTGGTGCAGGTCTGCTTCAGGCTGTTCCCAAGCCACCTACTATTGCCAGTTGCTGTCTATTGAGTATCTGAGCAGGGGCAAGTAGGCAGGGCTTGTAGAGAAAGGGCTGTACTGTTTGTGTTCATCCAGAGGCCTCAGAAAACTCTAGCAGAGGCAAGTGCCATTATCCCCATTCTGAGGTGGGAGACCCTGGGGTAGAAATAAGTAGGTATAATTAAGCATGCAGTAGAATATTCCTGAGGTTGGTTTTGCTTGAATGCAGGTGAGCAAAGACAAAGTGAAGCAGCTACTGAAGGAGATTGGGAAGGAGATCCTCCAGCTGAACATGGCTGGTTGTTACTGGCTGCCCAGCTCCACTATTGACCATGTGCTACGCTGCAAAAACCTGGTGAAACTGAACTTGTCTGGGTGCCACCTGACCTCCCTCCGCCTCTCTAAGATGCTCTCTGTCCTTCAGAACCTGCGCTCGCTGGCGATTGACGTGAACCCTGGTTTTGATGCCAGTCAGCTGAGCACTGAATGCAAAGCCACGCTCAGCCGGGTCTTGGAGCTCAAGCAGACCCTGTACACGCCTTCATATGGTGTGGTCCCCTGCTGCACCAGCCTTGAGAAGCTGCTGCTCTATTTCGAGATCCTGGACCGATCCCGAGAAGGGTTTATTCTGTCTGGCCAGCTGATGGTGGGTGAGAGCAATGTCCCCCATTATCAGAACCTCCGCGTCTTCTATGCTAGGCTGGCCCCTGGCTATGTCAATCAGGAGGTGGTGAGACTGTACCTGGCAGTGTTAAGCGACAGGACTCCGGAGAACCTTCATGTCTTCCTCATTTCTGCTCCTGGCAGTTTTGCAGAGACTGGAGCCACCAAAAATCTCTTGGACTCCATGGCTCGAAATGTTTGTCTAGATGCCTTGCAACTGCCCAAATCCTGGCTTAATGGCTTCAGCCTCCTACAGCACGTGAAGTTCAACAACCCTTTCTACTTCAGCTTCAGCCGCTGTACCCTCTCTGGTCTGGTCCAGAAAGTCATTAATGGTGGGAAGGACCTCAAAAGCTTGACCAGTCTGAATCTCAGTGGCTGCATTCACTGTCTGGCTCCGGACTCCTTTTTCCGCAAAGCAGAAGACGATATTGACAGCAGCATCCTGGAAAGTCTGGTGGTGTCTTGCTGCAATCTGAGACACCTGAACCTTTCTGCTGCTCACCATCACAGCTCAGAGAACCTGGGCAAGCATTTGTGCCAGCTCCTGGCACGACTGAAACACCTGCTGTCTTTGGCACTGCCAGTGTGCTCCATCACAGATGGGGCCGCGAATGCAGACAAACCCCCCATGCAGTCGGTGACTAATATGTTGCCCCAAGGGTTTGGAAAGAAAGCCCGTGTTGGGGTGCAGACTTACTCCAGGAGTGTGGAGCAGGGTCACGCAAAGCCGCAGACCTCGGTGTTTTGGACTCTGCTGGAGAGCCTGCTGCTTTTGGAAAGCTTGGAACTGATTGGGTCCAACTTCTCCTCTGCCATGCCCCGGAATGAGCCGGCCATTCGGAACTCGCTCCCTGCCTGCAGCCGGGCTCAGCACGTGGGGGATGCAGAGGTAGCTGCCATTAGCCAGTTGACCTATTTGCGAAACCTCACCTTAGCCCAGCTGCCCAACATCCTCACTGGGTCTGGGCTCATTAGGATTGGAGCACAGTGCCAGCATCTGCGGACGCTCTCCTTGGCCAACTTGGGCATGATGGGGAAGGTGGTCTATCTGCATGCCTTCATGGACATGCTGAAGTACTGCAAGCACTTAAGAGATCTCAGGTGAGGGGCTGCACATCCTCTTCAGTGTGTTCATGGGTGTCTAATGACGTTTGTAGTAATTTAAGGGAACCTACAGGGAAATTACAAGATGGGAGCTTTCCCTCCAAAGGCAGGCAGCTCCCTGAGAAGGCTAAGATTCAGTTTCTCCCGAGCAGCAGGATTGTGGAGGGTGGGAATGTTCTGTGTTGTCCTGGAGGTCTCTCTTTATCTCTCCCCTGAGACATTACTGTAATTGAACAGTAATCGTAGAAGTGACATGATGGGAGCTCCACAAACATGGCTGTGAGAGACTGTATGAGCCCTGTAGAGGGTACTTGGGTGCCAAGAACCATTCTTGCTTAAACAACCTGGTTGTGTTTGGTGATTTCCCTGGATGGCATGTACTCCCTATGGAGCAGTGCAGTCTGGGCAGTGCCAGGAGGAGGGCAGCTTGGCTTTCCAGAAGCCAATCATCTTCCAAAGAACTGTTTGTAATCTTTAGGAATAGCAGGATTTGGCCTGGAGTGAGGATGGCACCCAGACATCTGGGTTGTGGGGTGCCAGCCTTCAGGAGGGCCTGTTTGGAAGGATGTATTAGGGGAGGCTGTATATAAAAGGATCGCCACAGGAGACGAGTTTTCTTGAGAGAGAATTTTCGTAACGGCCTCTGAGAAGCTTGTGTCTGGGGGAGCTGCTACACATTCAAAACCTAGCATTTAAATAAGTTCCAATAGATTTGCCTGCCTTTAGCTGACTTCCCCAGTACTCTTTTTCTCCAGCCATCAAAACTAATGTCAGGTGATGTTGCAAAGCAACATTGTCACCTAGTGAATAAAACTGAGTATTACAAGCATGTGTTCCTGCCACTTCCCTGTCCACTGAAGAGGTGGATCCAGGAAATCAAGAGGGGTGGGAGCCAGTCTGTAGGGGAATCGTTCATGGTAGGGTGAACAAGCTTTGAAAACCCAGCCAAGGTTCTGATCTCCCTGTGACTTTTGTTAACTGGGTAAAACTGAGCGAGAAGCAAGATCTTCCCTGGCAGCCAGGTATTGCTCACCTTAGATGAGAGACTCTCTGGGTAACTGTTGAATAAAATGGCTTGCCACTAGCACCATTACTGCCAGCCGTTACCTGATGGGCAGTTGTAGGCTGGGACTCTATAAAGCACGATTTAGGAATAGATAGGATTATGCTGTTCAGATCTTCTGACATACTAGAGGAACCCAGACAGATGATCCCATTGGGGGTTGGCTTCTTGTTACTCTGTAATGGATTACCTTCCTCACAGCAGCTGACTCTGAACCAGGGCGTGGAACTTCAGCTGTGCTGAGGTCCTGTCACAAATGTGGCCTGAGCTGCCACATCTTCCTTGTGACACTCTCCTTTGGCAGTGAAGCTAGTTTCCATCATACGGGAATCCAGACCCAGAGCTTTCTGAACCTGATTGGTGCCCACAAATGCCATTGCCACCTTGGATACGGACAGCAGAGGGTGACCCCAGGGCAGGATGCTGGTTTTGGTCCTGTTTGGTGTGAATCTCCCAATCGACGTGTTGCTTTCTGGACTGGTTCCTTTGCTGCAGCCTGCTTAATTCCGTTACTTAAGTCCAGGCCGGCTCTCCACCCAGGATGAAGTAATTAAAATAAAGGGCTGGGAGAATAAAAACTGCATCCACTGGGGTGGGGGAAGCAGCTCTGGCCTTTGAGGACTTGGAAGTATTCACCCTGCCAGCTACGAGACATGAGATGCTGGTTGGCATGTGAACATTGTAGAACATTTGTACTTGCTCTAACCCATCACCCTGGTGGGACTAGCTTTGTTGGGCTCCGGACCGGTCACCTGTCCACTGAGCTGGTGCCAGTTAGCCAGCTGGGGTGTGGCTCTGCCTCTTGCTGTCCCACAAACTGCTTATTGGTAGTAGCTCACTAAAGGCAGGAGAACTGAGTTAGGCCCATCACTGGGGTTTGTGAGGTGGTACCAACACCAATTATCCTGTATGTCATGTCTGTACTGTAGAACAAGCCCTAGGGAGCAGCACGTGGTTGAACCAGCAAAATCTTTGCTCCACTTGCAGCTTCCCATGAGTGCTACGTCCCCTCGTGGCTTAAAGCATCGTGTCTGCAGGTCTGTCCATTGGCTTATTTTTTGTCTTCCCTGCAGGCTAGAGCAGCCATACTTCAGCGCTAATGCCCAGTTCTTCCAGGCATTGAGTCATTGTTCTTCTCTCCAGCGGCTGTGTATCATCTCCCGGAATGGGACTCTGCAGTCTGACGCAGTGATGTCATTCATGGCCAGCTGCCTTGAGGTCATCATGTGCCACATGTTTACGGGGGAATCGCTTACAGCTTGCAAAAATCTTCAGCAGTCGATTGTGCGGAGGTGAGAGTGGGGGAGACGAGAGGGGTGCTCCAGGGCCCTTTGAGGTTTACCTCCACTTCCTTTGTTCATGTGGGCACAGTCTTGAAGAACTCATGCCTGCATAGTGTCCTGAGAAGCTAGTAGGTGAAATGTAACTCTTTGGAGCTCAAACTGGCCTCCTACTAATGCAAGAGGCAATCAGTGGGACATTGCCAGGTATTGTGTGTGTTTAAACCTCCTCCCCTCCTCCCGCGTGATGGATTCAAAGCTTTGATTATACAGTTACATCATAAATCAAGTGACAGCTTTGTGTCAACAAAACATCTGGCGGCATTTTAAGCACTGGGGATGTTTGACCTTGAGGTTTTCCTCCTTTCCCATGAGTGACTACATTCATTCACCATCCTCTAATCACAAGTAAACGTTGCTAACTGAAAGTTCCCCAATAGAGCTGTTCAAAGCCTTCTAATTGTCTAAGGGTTATTTTTTTTGGTGTAGCCTTTGCATGTTTGGCCATTTTTAAAGCCATCTGGCCTCGCCCATTGCAGCATTCTGAAGCCCACATGGTGGGAAACATTTGTGTGTGAGCCGTGAGCTGCATTAGAAAATATAGCTTTGAATTCAGCTTGGCGTTTGGGAACTTTCTCAGAGTGGCGACCACCTTGCAAAATATTTCCCATTCAACAGTCTTTCTGCGGCATCTCTTGTTTGCCTGCTCACCACTCTGCCCCACCAGGCCTTTGCTTTGCTATTAGTCAACTACTGTTGCTCTCCTCTATTAGGCTGTAATAAAAATTTCAAATCCAACAGCATTAATACTGTGCTGAGGCATTGCTCCAGCCCCCTTGTCCACTTTAGACTGACTTATTCCACTTGGCTTGTTTCCTAGGATTAAATCCAGAGAAGCCTGTGACTGTATTAGCTACCTATCAAACTATGTACAAGACTGCTTATTCCTGCCTCCTCCTTCGGGATAGTGGTTGCTGGAAACATCTGAGTAAATGAGTCATCGGAGTCCCTGTGATGTGTCAAAGATATGTTTTTACAGTTTTGTAAAAGCATCTGGGATCAAATTTGGCACTGTGCTGTGGAGATTTTTTTTGGAGAGATCGTTGAATTTCCCCCCGACCCATTTCTCTCATTCCCCAGGCCTGTTCAAGGTGTCACTACAGCTCTGGCCAAATTTTGAGTACTCTTCTGTGCTGTACTTCTCACCCTCTTTACAAATCTTTCCCTCCTGTTTTTCTCTTCCATGCCCATGCCTTTTCCATGTGCTCTGTACCTCTTAATAATTAAAACCCAGCAAACTTCCAGAGACCAGCTGTTTTCTCCTGGAAAAACATGAAAAAATGTTTTATATTTAGCAACCATTCTGCCTGTCATCTTCTTTTCGTCCTTTGCTTTTTATTATTAGGGACGTTTGTATGAAAACAGGATCTTTGGGGGGGGGGTTTTTAAAAAGGAGAGCATCTGCTCCTGTTGCTAATTCCCTACCTGAAGTCATAATCCTCTATGACTTTATAATTGGTGGCTCTGGAAATGATTTTGATGTCACATAAGATTATGACTTCAGGAGGAGGAGAAGGAGCAGGAGCAGATGCTCTCCTAAGCAACAAAGGTCCCGTTCTCATGCAACTGTCTCTAGCAATAAAATACAATGGGCAAAATACAGAAAGTGATGTGTAAGCAGAGCGCCGCGACACCAGTGAACCCTTCACCCACGTGACTGCCTGCGATCTCATCCCTGCCCTTTGTGCATGCTTGCCTCAAAACGGGGTCAGAAATTGACTTTCTCTTGACTGCATTTTATCTGTTGCTCTAAGGGCAAATAGAGAGGCAGTAAAACCCATGAAAAAGGAAGGCTCTCCTGCTAGCTGGCTCCTGGCTGAACCTTAGATGAGAGCTTGTTTGTGCAGTGCAGCTTTCTGAGACATGCTTGTCACGTACCCTCAATCTAACGTCCTGATATTGCAAGAAATGCTTGGGCAGCAAATATGCAAGGTAGAACACCCATGTTCCAGAGAAACACTAATTTTGTCTTGGAATGATTTACCGCATGCATGCAAAAGAAGCTGATGTGATGGCTAGAGTGTGTGGGGATGCAGTGGGGGTGTCCAAGCTGAGCATCTTTGTTTGCTTCCCTCCCTCTGGGGCCCTAAGTCTCTATTAGCCACTTCTTGTCTTGGCTATGGAGATTACTTTGCTCATGTTGAAGGAGCCAGGCCAGGGTTGTTTGCATGTGGGAGGCAACCTCTCTAGAAAGCTTTATTTTTTCTCATTTTTTAAAGATTTGGAGTGAAGAGCTGCTATGGCTCAGTATTGAACTTGGAGAGGGGCTCTTGCTGCAGCCTGTGGAGTTTGGAGTGTATGAAAACATGATCTAGTGCAGTGATTTTCCCCCCCCCCAAGGCATTGATCCGCAGAAGTAGCAGGCACCCAAAATCTGGGGAGGGCAACCTGGCATCCTTTAGTGCCACTTTTCTGATTTTGGCTGCTGAATTTGTGAGCTTCCTTTAACACCTTTCCTGATATGACTTTGCTATGCAACTTCTCTGTCCTGGGGTTGTTGGTTGACTATCAGTGGAGGCAGAAGAGGAGGATTATTGTCTATGAGATGCTAAAATGTGTTCCATGCTGTGAAGCTGGAGAATTCCCTCTCTGGCAGAGAGAGCCCAGGGAGGGGAGGCCAGAGACTGGGCTGAAGGCCTCAGTTAAGTGCTTGAACGTTCTTCCTCTTCAGCTATAAAATGGGGATACTCTTAACATAGCTCCCTAGCTGACTGGTTAGAGGGGAGCCCAGACCAGTATTGGCTGTGGAAAGAGACATCATTTTATCTGCTAGTCACTTCACTGCTGGAGGCTGGGCCCCAGGTAGCCCAACTTTGTCTGGCATGAACTCTGTGGTGAACTTCCTGAGGCTGCAGGCAGGGGAATTTGCAGCAGCTCCTTCAAACTTTTGCAAGCATCAGCTTTCAGGGAAGTTGCTTTCACATTTAAACTGGTAAATCCCTCTGGTGCAGTCTGCATTAGCTGCAGTGGCAAGGCATAGGCATGGCAGGACTGCTCTGCAACCCTCATCAGCAAGTAGCATGGTCATAAGACCATCCTGTGAGTTGCAGAGGAGCCGTGGGCAAATGCAGGTGTGTGTTTTGGGGAGGGTGGGGGGTAGCAGTTTCCAGCACACAGTGCGCTCCCAGGAAGGGAAGGGTCATCTGCTGTTTACAGCACTAGTTTGGGATGTGGGGACCCAGGTTGGACTCTCAGCTCTGCCACAGATGTTCTTTCTATGCCCCCATCTGTTTAAAGATGATACTTCTCAACCCCCTGGAGGGTCCCCAGGCAGGCTGACCACGGGAAATGGAGGTGAGGTGCTCTGATTCTGCGATCATGGGGGATTTGTGGGGGAGCAGCATTGTAAGCACCTAAGAAACAAGTGAGGCTGACGAGAAACCTACATTTTCCTTTATTGACTTGCATGTTAATAAGACCGTAAATACACTACCGAAATATTTCACTCCAGATGGGTGTTTAAATTGACTTAAATAGATGTTCCTTCACAAACTGCTCCATGTGTTAATTCTAGAAACATACTGTCAATATTGCTGGTGAGTGGAGAGCAAACTCTGCTTTTAGATCCAAGCAAAACCAATTCTTTTATGGAACAAATATATTTTCCTCAGGAGGTGAAACCTAAATCCTTCTCTGCTGGATTTGTTTCAGTGACTCTTTCTGGAAATTTTTTAAATAGTTGTCCATGGCTGATTTGTCAAATACCAGCACTGCCAGACAATCTTATCCTGTTAAGGGATTGCTTGCTTCAAGCTTTTTTTTATTTTATTTTTGGAAAGGAACTGGCAGGTTTCTTATAAATGTCCGCTAGATGGCACCGTGGTCCAGAGTAGATGCAATTCCCTGTCCCTGCTGGTTGCCTGTTAAATATTCAGATTGTCTATGTGCCTTGTTCCTTCCATCGCCAGAAAGCTTGTATAATACTCCTGTATGGCACTGTTAGTTGGTATGATACTTCACAGACGCCTAGGAGAAGCTCCTTACCATATAGAGCTTGCACAGATTTCAGGAAGGATTGTGTTATGACATGTTTGGCAAGTATCTTATTAATCTTAAGGGTTTTTTCTTTCTTTCTCTTTTTAAAGTTTATTCCTTTGTAACTAGCAGTGGTCTAAAAGCTTAAGTATTTACACAGTGCCTATTGCAGCAGTGATTTCAGGCACACAACAGTGGAAACCTATGGAAAGTCCCTGAAAAGTCACCGTAGAAACAGGTCAAAAAAGTAAACCAGCCGTAACAAATCTCCGTCAGTGAGCAATCGCCAGGGATTCTTATTGTGTAAAGGAAAAAATGTCAAGGAATGCAGTTCAGTTGTGATGGATAGAAACATGATCAAAATCGAGACGCAGGGCTGGAACGCCGGCAGCAGCCGCAGTGTGGTGAGGAGGTACTTGATGGAGGGTGGTGATTGTGCTGTGTGGCACTTATCTGTGTCTCTAGGATATGCTTGTTGCAGTTCCCTGATGCTTGCTACTTGTATTGAAAGCTGCTGGGTAGCAGTAGTGCTATACAGAAGCATTCTCAACAATAGCCCTAGGGTGGTCCAGGGGCTGTAATGCAGGGGTGGGGGCCAGGTGCACCTGGCTTTCAGTCCTGGCTTTACTACTAACTTGCCGTGTGACCTTGGACAAGTCCACCTCTTCCCGACCTGTATTATCTGCAGGGGGAGGCCGTGGAGATTGTGTGCAGCACTTCACGTGCTTACAGCTTTAGTTAGCATCAGCCAGTGCTGCCATTTGACTGCTCCCAACACCACACTCTTCCTTGTCTGCAAATCCAAGAGCTGGAGGTTGGGGGAAGAGACGCACCGTCTTGTCTTATCCGCTCCTATCCCTGTTGGGGCAGGGTGGTGTTGGCGTGCTGCCTGTTTGGAACGACTCCTGTCATAGCTTTCCAACCGGCTCCCATGAATGTGTTTCAGTTTAATTAGGATTAATTTAATCCTAATTTTTTTTATTTTTCTTTGTGGTGGCAACTACCCCTAAATGATTATCCAATTCCCCCTCCCCCAACTCTGCCCTTAGCTGTCACTTAGTCTAGCTATAGCCGTGTAGTTGTTGCTCTGCTCGGAAGCTGGCCCTCCGCCTCGTTAACCATTAGAGTCGCCCTTCTCTGAAAGTGCCTCCAGTTTGTCAACAGCTTCGTAGTGTGCAGATGGGGCCTGCTGGATCCTTCTTCCTTAATTCAAAGTCTGGCCTGAGTTCTGAGTGATTTCTTGTGGCTGTTACCTCTGGCTTGGAGGTCTGGAGCCGGCAGGGATGGGAGGTGATTTGGAGGGCTGTAAGCTAGTACAAAATCCTCTTTGAATTCTTTCGAATCCTCCCCTCCCCCTTCCGCACGGCCCACCTGGCTGTCACAATTGCACTGACATTGCAAAAAGCTGGTATTATCACTTGCAGCTTATTGCCTCCCCCCCACCTCCTCTCCTTCCTTCTGACCTTGAAAAACTACCTCCTTGTAGATTGCCTTTCTCTGCAAACCCAGTGTTGGCACGTTAGCTACCAATCCCACTTCACTAGCCTAAGCATGTTGTGGACTCGGCCCCTGCCTCCAATTACAGAGGGCTTAATGTATCGTTAGCCTGGTGTAGTGAATCATCAGAGTCTGGTTCCAGCTTTCGTTGTCTGTCTCATTTCCTGCTCTTAGAAACCCTTGAATCAGCCTGTCCCAGGCTGAATAACAAAGTGCATCCTTGTGAGCTTACCCAAGGTCTCGTTGAAGTGTTTGGTGAAATCCAACTGTGTTTTGGGAGCGGTGAGAGAACCTTCATTAGTCCCACCTGCCTTGGTCACAAGTGAGATGAGGATCCGATCCATCTGGTGTGTAGGTACATTCCTGATGGACTTTCACTGTTTTCTTTTGGGGACGTTTCCTCGATCCCCTTCTCGGTCGCATTCCAGAGACTTGCCCAAACCCATCCTCCTCGCCACTTGAACGTGTGCCGTGGTAGGAACTCGGTGGGGAGTCCTTCCTGGAGGATAGCCTCATTTGGATGCATTCCTCACAAATGTGGATCTATCTCCGTCTCTTGCGCAGCATGATCTCCTCGTTCCCAGCTGCCAAGTCCTGCTGGAATCTCTGCCCTGGTTTCTTTTTGTGTAAATGGGTGTGGGCGCGAAGGAGACTGAGCTGAGGCATTAACCATGGCTTTAATGTGTTTCCAAAATAAAAAAAATAAACGTAATTAAACAATTATTGCAGTAACTTTTCCACTTGTTGGGGGCGGTTAGGAAATGGCTCTTTCCAGTGTGTTTTGGCTTGTTCTGGCAGAGCACTTCTCCAAGACCTATGGGCTGGGTGCTTTGGCATCGTTCCTGCTGTTTCTCCCTCTTCATCTCCCGCTGGCCATGTGCACTTGGCTGTTCTGTATGCAGCGTGGCGGGCACAGTGGCTCACACTTCAGAGCCTCAAAGCACTCTTCATCTAGGCCTTATAGCACCCACGTGGAGTAACAAAGAATCGGCCAAACTGAGCAATGTCACTTGCCTGCATTCAGGGGATGAGGATAACGCATCCCATGCCCTGTGTTGTCGAGACACCAGACCATCCTTGCCTTCCTAGGAAAAGTATTAGCACTTCCAGAGTCTTGTCCACGCTTCTCAGTCTCAGGCTGGAGGTTTTAAAGGGAATTTAAAATGATGAAAGCAACAGGGGTCCCTAGGATGTCATCATGGGTATGAAAAGACCCTGCTAGAAAAGCACCACAGCTGAGAGGTACCCTGAAAATGGAGGCTTGTTTCGTTGAGGAAGCTCGGTTGCTTTTCTTCTTAAGCCTTTGACTGCAATTTGTGCTCTGGGGTGAGAAGCTGCAGTCTGCTGATTGCTCATGTCCCACAGGGGTCCAGAGCAAGAGCAGCAGTGGGGACCTGGTCTGCTTTTATATAGTGTCTTCAGTGCAGCTTCATAACCCCTCCTCAAGGAGATGTCAGCAGAGCACTCGGTCTCCCGGAAGAAGGCACCTCGGGAATAACCTTCGTTGGTATTTCTCTGGTTCCCATGGGCTCTGTACAAGTTGTCACCTTGTGTCTTTTGGAGAATGTTGGAAGAGGGAAGCATGCTTGCAATTCGTAGCACCCATGCACTACGCTGGAAGTGACCTTCTTGAATGTGTTTGACCATGTTGGAAAGAAGAAAGACGTGCATCTACGTCGTGTCAAAAGCTGACACGTCTGCCGTTCCAGCTCATCACCCTTGGTTGCTCCACTCTGATCTGTGGCTGCAGATCCTGCATGCCCCAGTGCTCCAGGTGCTCTTTGTAGCTTCTGCCACGCCACATTTCAGCAACGTGAACATCCTAAGCCAGGGCTTGTATGTTGGCATCCGCCTTCAACCACGTTTAAATCCAAGACGCAAGCATCTCTTCCAATGAAAACAGAACGCCCAGTGGGTTGGGTTGAGACTGAACAGTGCACAAAACTGAAATAATTTTATATAGGGCAGAATTACAGCTATGCTGAGTTCCCCTTTCTTGGTTAGTTAGTGTTCATTCTAGACAAGAGCTCCAGGGGCAATGTGAATGTGGAAGAGTCCACGCTGTGCAGTTTGTCCACGAAGGTGTGGAGAAGGAAAGTCTGTGCCATGGGAATGGGATTCATTCTTAATGGAGTCAGCACCTGCTCCCAAATGGAGGCACTTCTGGCTCTCTGCTACAGCTAACTCCTTCCTCTGCACGGAGGGGTCCAAAACTCTTTGATGGTGCAGCCCTGGAACTAGATATGGCCTTCTCTCTCCTTTTGCCCTCAACCCGGGCCCTGAATTTGTGGGTCTATTCCCAGCGAGGGTGCTAGTCCTGGTGACACACCTCTCCCATCCTCTATAAATTTACCATCTTTAGATGACCGTCCCAGCTTACATAAAGTGGGACGGTTACATCACGTGAAAGTTCCTCCTGAGATCTCCGGAAGAAGAAAACTCATTTCACTTCAGGGTGTCACCCTGCCCTTTCAAAGCACTTTCTTAGAACCAAGAGAGAAGGAGGTAGTGTGTTAGGGCTGTTTTCCTAATTACTGTCTCGGGGGGAGCTATTGTAATGTGAATAAATGAATTGGATTATTGTTAACTTGCTGGTGAATACCATCTAAACTGGACCTGGTCTCTGTTTCCCTTTTGCCAGCTTCAGCCTGTTGAGTTCTAAGGGGCTCATCTGGTCCCGTCTTCTCAAGTACATCTTGAGAACGCACACGTGTGTATTTGTCTAAAGTAATGAATTCCAGGTAGTGACTCTCTTGTCCTACAAAAATCAAGGCAGTCTGATTGAAATACAGATGTGCTCTCAACTTTTCCTGCCTTTGGCTTTCTCCATGACCTACACATTGGATCCTGATGTCCCAATTGGAAGCAACTGAGATCAGTGGGTAGGTTGTTTACTAAGCTGTTGCCTTGAAAATGCTCTTGCTGTGCCCAGTCCACATCCATTCTGTTGTGGGGCAGGCGGCAAAGTCCGATTCCTCTTCTTTTGTCTCCTGCAGGGTGGTAGGTCTAGTCGTAGCATCATGTCATACCTCTGCTGATGCCAAAATGAACCTTAAGTGCATTCCCCATCAGTTAGCTCAATGGATGACTGTGGCCAGCTACTGAAGCCAGCATAAATATACGAGCTCATCTGGAAATGCAGCCTCTTCAGAAACCTGCTTGTAAAATGAACCATTGGACTTCTGTTGGCTTGAGGTTACACATATTAGACCAGTGGCTACTACAAAAAATATCCACCTTTTGTTATCCCAGCAATCACCCCTGAGTGAAAGATGCATACTGCAACATAGTCAGCTGCATGGAAAACTTGCTGTTGATTAAACATGTGGAGATCCTTGTAGGAAACATGTGAATGTGTCTTTGGCTTGTGTCCCTTGGAATAAGACGGGGATTCATGTCTAGAACTGCAACTCTTTTGGGCTCTGCCGATCCACATCCTCCCCCCCATCTATCCTGCAGGCTTTCATTATACCCTTCCAGAGGTAGAGCTAGTTTTGAAGTCCATCCAGGTGTGGACTAAGTAAAGAGGCTTCGAGATTATGGTAGCTATTCTGCAACTCATTAACTCAATCCCTTCCCCAGCTTTCCATCTCCACCCTGTGCCTGGGGTCTTTTCTTGTTACTGCACTAAGTGCTTCTCACTTAATCTGGCTCACCTGGACAGGTGGAGCAAGAGTGGAATTGCCTTCCGGCAGAGGACTCTTGCAGTTCTCGGATATAGTCTGCAGAGGAGCCTGTTTGGGGGACTGCTAATCCCAGTTCAGTGTTATGACAGCTGCTTGTTCAACACAGTTTTGAAATGGGCACTGGAGGAGAGGGGGTGTGTGAAAGAGAGAACCATGTGCATTTCATTGCCTGATAATTCCTCCCATGCTCGTAAACTTGCTACGATAGGTCTCTTGCAAGGCTCACAGTACCATACCGTTTTGGAAAAAAGGTTGCAAAAAGCCGAGATTAATTCTGGCCATCTTTGTGGCTGCTCCCGTTCAGACCTCTTCCAAAATGTCTCCATCACTTCCCTGACAGTTGGAATTTATAAGCAGCGTGTTTGTTTTTTTTTCCCCAAGTTGTCTTAGTAGCACATTTATTGCGAAAACCCATTTAGATTCTGTTTTTATTGCCACATGGAGAGGCTGCTTATGACTAACAACCTTGCTTGTGGTTATGCTAGCACCCAGACCTCAGTGGGGATTTGCTGTGCTGGGTGTTGCACTTGCCTAGGAATAGGCAGATGTTTTTTCTTACTTTGGGCAGTTTATAGCAGAAGGCCGAAATTTTACCAAGTTCATGGGCAGATTCTCCCCTGCCCCCAAGTGCCATTTGTCTACTTGCATGGCTTTCTCTGTAGGAGTGAAGGCTTGGAGGAGACATCTATATTGCGGGGAGAGTGGCAGGAGAAAATATCAGGTTGTACTCACCTACTGTATTGTATTTTCAGTTATTTATCTAACTTTCACTGTTCATTTGACCAGGATGCTTCTCCATTTAGCTGCTATCTATTGGCTCAGGTCTTCTTGGCATCACTGCAGAAGGAGGTTCTGAGAGAAGTGCTTTACATAACTCTTTGGGGAAGAGGGGGACACAGTGCAGAGGCTGTGAACTAGCGGCTTGGAAGTAGCAGAGGCAACCTAGACACAGCAGCCTGGAGGTACCTGCTTCTCAAAGTAGCTTGTTAGTAGTGGTAGAGGCCCCCAAGGCAGCTGTAAATGAGGTAGTACTGGAAGCAGTGCCTAAATAACCAAGCTCCTGTTTATGGGAGGGGCTCACTAGATCTATCTTAGAGCCACAAAAGCTAGGTACTTGCCAATCTT